CTATTTACTACTGCCTGATGACCTAAACTGGTGCTTCTCAAAGCTACAATTTGTCCTTTCTCGAAGTCTGTTAAATGGGTAACACGATGACATGATGAAAAAAATATGTTTACATTTCAAACTTGCAAGAAAGATGGCATTTCTATACTTATGTGGCAGTACGTAAATTGACTTCATTGCTATTCCGCAGTCAACCATGAATTAGAAGCTCAAGTTCCCTAAAATTACATTTTTATAAGTTAGGTGCTGAATTATGCATAAAAAAATCTATTTCTATCTGTTAGTGCATGTTCTCACCTCAAAAGACCAATTTTTTGAGCAGTTCTATACTTTTGTGGAGCACCTTATGAGAGCATATGTAAAAATAAGATGGAAGTATTCATCTTGTTATATTGAAAATTTTGTGTTTTTATGTATTTAACTTAAGTATTTGCTTATCTTTTTGTTAATATTTTTATTTTCAGTTTTTTGAAATTTTCATTATAACTCTAACACTCTAGATATGTTAACTGTTGGTAATGAATTTGAGAGAGATAGTTTTTATATTACTACTAGCTTACCGTCACGCATTGCTGCGATCTCAGAAGAAACGAAATGCAAGCAAACTCGTAATGATAAAATTAAATTTTCATTTTATCATTTTTATTGAAACTTATTATTATTATTCATTTTCATCAGGAAAATATTTCAAAGTGTTGTTTCAATTCTATTTATTTATTGGAGTGCTCGTGGATACACGATATTTTTTGTTTTTCCGTCTGGTGCGTACACGAATAGATCGGAAGGTTTTCCGACGCGTGAGCCGGCCACATACACTTGTCCATGTGAGAAGCACGGATTCTCCAAATTTAACCCACACACTCGCAGCGATTGTCAGAAGTGCGATATTCCTCATTTTTATATATTTTTTAAAATCCTTTATAATTTTCATTATTTAATTGCTCCTTCCTCTCTTCCTTGGCATGTTGTGAAATTTCTGATAGTTGAATAATAAACCATTTTATTGTAATTTGTCTTTTTAAATTATTTTGAGTCGATATTAAAATTTGGAAAAGGGGGGATACCTAGATCGGTAAAATAGGCGAATTTCTTCCTACAACTTCGGTTGTTGTTCGGGGTACAGTTAAGGTTTTAGAAGTTCGAGCGAATACATAATTAGCAATAAAAAAAGTTGAAATAAAGTGATTAAACAAAAATTATTACAAATATCATAAATAACAAATGCATATATAGAGATATTTTTTGAAAGGGGGAAATGGTCTTCACAATTTGAAATCGATCTAACACATTGTGCGCGAATGCTCGTGTAAACGTGCGCCATCTATCGTAGGATAAATGTACTTTGCGGGAGTGTATTAAAAAATTAAAAAAACTTTCCAAAGTTTTATGGCAATCGTACTATGCCACAAACCTTCGCCAGAGTATATTAAACAACTTCCCAAAGTTTCACGGCAATCGGATAAACGGTGTGGTAATGCATGAAGGACATAGGACACACACACAGACATACATTCATTTTTATATATATAGATTACCGTTATTATTAATGATAATATAATGGTTATAAGAAATATCTCTTTCAAATTCATTTCATTCTTGAAGAATATTTGCTCAAAATTTTAGAGTAATTTTTATTTTATTATATATATAGTGTGTGTGTTGTTTAAAAATGTTACATTACATTGTAGGAATTAACTTTTAAATTTTCATAATACATTTTCTATATTGCAGTATTAATACTATTATACAGAAAATGTATTTTGTTCTACAAATTAAAGATGATATGCATTTAATTTAAATTTATGTATTATTAGAATTATAAAAAATAAGTAGAATTAGTATTAGAAAATGAAATTGAGTATTAAATATTCTTATTTATATTTAACCATGCTTAATTAAGTTAAACTTTGTAATAAATAAAATAATTACTGTATATTCTGTTTCATTCAAAGGATGTACTTTGTCAAAACATGTAATGTCAATCTGAAAGCTTCTCACTAACTACTAGGCATTGTTCATCTCCATTTGCCAAAGAGAGTTCTGTTGATTTTAGTGTTTAAAAGTCATTTTTGTAATATATTGATATAGCCATTAATAAGACATAAAATTTTTTAAGTGAAATAGAAAAGGGATATGTTTGGAAATTCAGATATGAAAAAGCTGAAATAATTTTCATGCAAGGGCAAACTGAATCATTGTTATAATATAAATTACTGTATTTTTAAAAAAGATAAACTTTTATAGGTAACAATTATTAAGCATTGTATTTATCATTTACAGTTCCAAGTAGATTTCATTGCAGTAAAAATGACTTTGTACAGTCACATTGACACATTGCCACTGCTCCACATGTAGCTGCACTTGGTCAAAGCAAGCTGATAAATCACAAAGATTTCATCATGGAATGATATGAAAGTAGCAAGGTTTGTTTTGACAAGGACATTGCTAGATGAAACAAAGTACATTTAAATCATTCATAGTTAATGTGATTGAAATTATTTTCAGATTGCTACCAAACCTTGACAAAAACCTTTAATATGCAGCTTTTTTTAATTAACTTTTCAAATGTTTGTTGCCATTTGAATGGCCTGTAGTAGATTGCTGTAAATATCTGAGAGTAATTGCTGTAATTTGCTGTAATTGCAATTTCTGTAGATTTATTCTATAGATGACAAAAAATCATAATGATGAAAACAATAGAAAATACATATTTGTGTTTGATATGCTAAGGAATTCATATATTTTAGGTGCTAATTTTTAACGGAAATAAGAATTAATTGTAATTTTTGAATGCTATTTTAAACTTCATATTTACTTATGAAGACTAAAAAAAGGAAAGAAGCAAATTGACATTTAGTTTTTATACATTAATGCAATTATTTTTCCAGTTTTTAACATCATATTATTTGATATGTATTTTTTAAGAGTTAAACCAAGAATAGAATTAATTGAAAGTTAGAAATAATTTTCTATTTAAAAAATGTTGACTATATACTTTTGCTGGATATTTATTTAAAAGTAAATGATGATAACATTTATAAAATATTTAATGCTATCAATTATATAATGACTAGTAGCCAATTTAATGATTATATGAGCCATTTATTATGAAAATGGGGCAAGTCTGTTTTTTGTTATTGCAATATATTTAAGGGTTTGCATTTCAATAAATTTTAAAAAATTAATAAGCATTAGTAGACAGCTTATGTATTTTGTGGTATTAGATAGTGTAAATTTATTATTCAGTAGTGTTTATTGACAATGGCTGAAGAAAATAAAGATTATGTTATATCCAGATGGACTTATCACACTTCCAAAATTAATGAATTATTGTAAACATTAATTAAATGGCTAATATTTCAGTTCAATCAGCCTTATTTTTAATAACAACAACAACAACATAACACTAAGATATTTTATTTAAATATTTATTCATTTGATGAAAAATAAAAGTAAAACATTAAAATTATATATTTTTGTTAATAATTTTTATTGCTTTATACAGTAATACCTCGGTTTTCATTGACTTTGGTTATCGTCGGTTTTTGTTTTTGTGAATTTTTTTCGTGAAAAATTTGTCTCGGTTTTCGTCGGTTGCTTCGGATTTTGTTGGCGTGTCCAATGGCATCGCTGCTAATTTTGCGAAAACAAAGGGCGAGCCATGCATTTTCCTGCTCAGTGTGGCATTGTTTCTCAATGTGTGAGCATTAGCTTGTGCATCTAGCCAAACAACTCCTCTGACAGCCTGATGGCTGAGTGGTCAAGATGGTAGCCAACCGCTTTGGAAGACCAGGATCGAATCCAGACAGGTCGAATTTTTTGGGTGGTGGTGATCTGTCCAGTTACGTTGTGCCCCATTTCTCACCATTTGGCCACCCCATTGTGGGCCTGGCTGAGCCCATAATGGGCTCGCTAAAAGAGGCCTTCTTAGTCCCCACAGGGCGGAAAGAGTTTTAAAAAAAACCAAACAATTCCATTGTTTGGTTATCCTTTCCTTTTAGCTCCATCATGGGACCAAAGAAAGTTTCCAGAACCAGCAGCCACTTCCAATGCTATGTTAAATGTTCATTTATTCATTACATTAGTGTTTTATATTCATTTTATATTAAATTCTTATTGTTTTTAGTATTAAATACTATATTTATTCTCTATAAAATGTGTTTTTGGTATGTATTTCAGAGTGTCTAGCATGAATTAATTGGATTTACATTGATTCATATGGAAATAATTGCCTCAGTTTTCGTCGGTTTCGGATTTTGCCGATTGTTTTTGGACGGATTAGCAACTGAGGTATCACTGTATTTATATTTTGAATTTTATTTATGGTTTAGCATTTTGAAATATTTTTGATGGTCAAGAGGTATACATGATAATAAATCCATCATGTCATTATATTTTTATGATATAATTAGCCTAGTTTTTTCTATTATAATTTTATATCTATAAAATTGTTTGATTTTTCCTCATTTTGGTGATAACGTTTTATTCCATTGACATTTTATATAGTACATTTTGTGCAATACTGATTCAGTGTATGTATATATATTGTAAGAGGTGCTGTGTGAAAGGAAGACACAATACGTGATCCAATTAAACAAATTTAATTTTGCACTTAAAATATATATATACAGTTTCTTTAAGGATTTCTGCTGTTGTACAATTCCAGCTATCTTCTGATGGTTTCAACATTATATGCGATCCAGGTAGTTGGTCTAATCCCAACTACTAACCCGACAATGGTTTGTGTCTAATATTCTTGCTGATTCCTAATCTAACTTAATCTAATAGAAGGTTGATAGAAGAAGGGGAAGTAAGAAGAATAATAGGATAAGGGATACCCAATTTATCGGCGAGTAGTCCTAGTATTTCTTCGTCTCGACTTCAGAATCCCGAATGTTTTATTTTCTTGCAGATTGGCTTTCTGAGGGTTCTCCTCCAGATCTGTCAATCTACTTCCTTCTTGATCTGTTCCCTACGGTCTCCTTTTTTTTTTTTTACAGCGCTTGTTGGATTTCACTTACGAGCCTTGCCACCACATGTCTGTTGCCTCTTGTGTCCGGCCCAAGAATGTGAACTGGAATTTCGATTTTCCCCTCCAGCCTTGTCGCAGACTATTGTTTTCACCCTACCTCCTGGTGGGCTAGGGGTGAGTCTGAGTTCTCAGAAGTTCGAACAAAGGAAATTGGAAGGAAGGATAAATTTAGAGAGATAGAATATAAAATTAAATTAAAAACTATACAAAATAGAATGGTGTACAGCCACAATTTAACTAATTTTACTGTTGCTAAATTATGTATAAAGTATTACTTTTAACTTCTACACAAATTGGATATGTATAAATGATAATTACACACGTTTAAAAACCTTAAAATTCCAGTAAAAAACTTTAGTAGACAAATATTTTGATCTATTATTAAGATCATCTAAGATTCACTTTAAAGTTCTAAGATTTTTTTTTATTTTTACATTTTAAAATTGGAACATTAAAGCGACCTAAAGACGGTCTTAGTAATAGATCAAAAACGTTTGTCTATTAAACTTATTTACTGGAATTTTAAGGCTTAAAGATTGTAATTATCATATATGTAAAGTATTCAGCTAAAACTAATTTTGATCCAAGTTGGACTTGTGCCACTTTCAAAATAAACATGTTTGCAATACTATCAATCATCAGAACTTCCATTGTTGAAATGTTAAGAATTTTGAATTATTTTGACTATAGATTGTTTGCATATAAAAAGATCATATTAAGTTTTATTGTTGTTATCATAATCTTTATTTTTTCAAAAATGGACTTGTCCTCCTTTCAAAATAAACGACTCATATTACTATATTAAATTGAAACAATTTTTAGTCATCTTTGATCTCTGATCTTTAATTACTGTATTTGATATATTAGTGTCAAAATCTTTACATATATTGGAATTTGATTTTATATTCTTACAGATAAATATAAGCATGACGATGATAAGTCGTACTAATCTTAAACAACAGCTGCAAAGAGAGCAGACTCAAGAACAAGAAAAGAAAGAAGCTGAACAAAGACAATTATTAATTGAACAAAGACTTTTTTCATGTTCTGCTCCTTCCAGTTCATCATCAGCAATTAGTGTGCCATCTGCAGCAATAGTGAAATTACCTCGTCAAGTTTTACAGGTATAATAATTATAATAATTTATTTTAAATTATTTTTATATGCAAATTAGCAGTTAATATACATATGACAATTAAAATAAAAAATAATAGTTGAATGTTGAAAGCTAACTTTAATTGATGATTATGTGCAAAGTTTATGGAAGAGTGGATGAATTTGCACATGCACAGTAAGTACCAATGGGCTAGTAAATTTGTTTATGGTACATAGTGTTGCAGTGGTTCTGCATAGTGATTTTTTTTAAACTCCATTTAAGTGGCATAATGGCAATTGTCCAAAATTAATTCAAAATAAATGACATTCTTAGCAAAAATAATAATTTATATATACAGTAGAGCGTCGTTTATCTGAAAGCTGGTTATCCGAAATGTCCGTTATGCGAAAGCATTCCAGTCGGCTAATTTAAGTTTTCGTTAGTGCTGTGGCGCTGCAATCTTCAGCTATTTCTCGGGCTACTCAAATATTTTACGTTTTTGATACTAAATTAACATCTGAAGTATAATTTTTTATTGTTTTTATATTTTTCAATAAATTTATTTTGTTTGTACAAAATAAAAAAATAATTTTTAACGATACAATAGTCTTCGTTAGGCTTAACATCGACGAAAATTCAATGCAAAGCGACACGCAACGAAGAGAAATTTCAACATCAGATAAATTAATATATTTTTTCGTACGTGATTCGTTATCCGAAAAATAAGTTATCCGAACCACCCCAGTCCCCAATTGATTCGGATAAACGACGCTCTACTGTATTTCAAATTTTAATCCAAACTATAGTAACCAAAGAAAAAGAATCTGTGGTAGTGACTTTTAAGTTACAAGAATTTCTATTTGTAACACTGCTGCTCTTTCTGTGCTGATAGGTGCTGACTTATTGAAACGTAAAATGTTAAGAAAGTGAAACTGTAATATTATTATTAATTATTTAGTTATTTATGAACAATATGCTCTATTAAAGAACAAAACATTCTGATCATGTAAATGTTAAAGTAAAATATGAGATGTAGGCATTTTGCTGTGTCACTCACTGTGCATGATTACATGGATCAAGTTTTCTACTCAGAGAGTAAACTTTGACCAAGTAGTTATAAAAGTATTCTGGTCTTCAACTTTTACTCACTTAGATGAACCACCAAGCAAGTTCATTAGTTGAAGTAATTAAATTGAATGAGTTTAATAGTAATAGATAAATTTGTCAGTAAAATGGGCAATAAACTTTTTCAATGTAATTGAGTCCTAATTGAGATTGCCTGACAATAGTCATTTAAACATTAGTATTTGCTATGAAAATAAATATTATTTCTGATGCTGAAAAATCAGGTGTATTGATATCTGTTTTCAGCATTAGGTAACCAAGCTTATATTTACCATAAAATTTGCTTTTCATTTAGAAAGCCATCATTTAGATCTAATCAGTGTATTAATTTATGACTTATTTTGGAGACAAAATAGTTCATAGTTTTCATTATAAAAGTTGTTTCAAGATGGAAAGCTAAAAAAATAAAATCTACTGTTTCTTTAGATAGTCATAACAAACTATCAGATTTTTATGATGTAAAAATAGTAAAATATATTTATTTTAATGTTAAATAAAGTAAAAGAATATTAGTCATAACAGTTGAAATATGTTTTACTAAAATACATGTTGTGAAATAAATAAAATTTCTTTATTTTTATGAAAGTTCTATTAGTTAACATATAGTATTTTCTGTACCTCTACAGAAAATATTATATGGTAAGTAATTAAAAGAGTTTGCTATAAATTCTTTTAATATAGAACAAACTACTTCAAAATTTGTGTTCAAACAAAATTTTTTTGTTCTCTGTTCAACCTAAAAATTTCCATTTTATGTTCACTCTGAAGATGAATATAGAAATTATCAAAAAACATATCATTAAAATATTCAAATTGGCCTCTAAAATGGTAATATAACAAGGTTTTCAACTATATTAGCTAATGCAAGAGAAGAAACTAAATGGTATTTTATTGAAGGAGAAGCTATGTTTGATGAAAAACATTTATTTTTGTGTTATCTTTGACACATTACAAAATAGAAGGTTTATGTTTACAATGTTCTAATATAATGTCAAATCCTCAAGAAATTGTAATGGACTTGTTAAAATACTATGTTCTTTTATTAATATTAAAAGAATAGCATTTTCAAGCATGAAAATATGTTCCAAAGTGAAAAATTGATTTGAACGAAAAGAAAGCCTTTGTAAAACCCTTGGTAAAAGATTAAAAGAACATGATACCGCTATACATACTATACATCTTAAACATAACCAATCACTATGGTATCATCACACAGAACAGACAGGTTGCACAATACACAAAAATCAGATTAAAATTTTACATCTTGAAAAGGACATACACAAAAGGAAATTTAATTTGATAGCAGAAAACATCCATAATCTAATGTACTGTATGTATTAGATAAATATGTTCCAAGTCATGTTTGTGTCTTTTCATTTTTAAGAAGATGGTTGCTTCAATACAAAGTAAGACACTATTATATTCACTTTTATTGTCATTATTATGTTTAATTAATTTTGTACTTATACCTAGCTCTTAATTTAAGTTACAGATGAGGGGCTGTAAAATGTAAGTTGGCCCAAAATGCATATAGTTATGTACGTAATCAAACAAAATAAACATAATTAAACTGTAGTTTTGGATCAGTGAATTACTGTTGGCATTCCTATACAACTGCAGATGCAGGATTATGGAATTCCCAAGAATTTTTTAATTGGAATATAGCTGGTATCCCAACAAGAAAGCAGTGTTTATTTTTAAAATGTTTAAATTTTTTAGTTTAACATTTAAAGTTTAAATTTATATTATAAATGGCTAAAGACAAAAAAACAAACCAAGTTATGAGATTAAACAACCTATTATTTATCTTTATGAAATACTTTTTGAAATAATCATAGAGACAATTAGCACAAATGGTGGGGTTACACAATATTTGGTTCAAATCAAGTACCACGCCTGGACTTAATGGGAAGCAAAATATAATTATCCAAAATAACATTTATATAAGTAAAAATTCACAATAATATTTATTAGATTGAACAATATTATTTATATATAAACAACAATGATTAGAAACAATAATTAATAATAAGTATATATTTCAAATATTCCAAATAAAAAAGAAGTCAAGATCAATTATATACAAAATAAACAATCGATCAATGAAAGAAATTATTTTTTGTATNGACTTAATGGGAAGCAAAATATAATTATCCAAAATAACATTTATATAAGTAAAAATTCACAATAATATTTATTAGATTGAACAATATTATTTATATATAAACAACAATGATTAGAAACAATAATTAATAATAAGTATATATTTCAAATATTCCAAATAAAAAAGAAGTCAAGATCAATTATATACAAAATAAACAATCGATCAATGAAAGAAATTATTTTTTGTATAATCAATCAAATTGCTATCAAAATAATTAAACAAAGAATATGCTTCTTACGAGCTGATTGCTTATCAAAGAATGCTAGACAATTTGCTTCGATGAAGGTTGTGGTTGGGAGCTACACCACACTTGAATGGACATGTCGCCTTTTATCTATCAGTGTAATTCTGCGTTGTCCTATTTACATGTCTGTGCATCACGGGATTAGTCACTGATGTAAATTAGTATATTTAGATTTTTATTTTTGAATTTATCATATTTTATATTTTGGGAGTTTCTTAGGAGTTTCTGTCCTAAAAAAAAAAAAAATTGAAAAGAAAATAACTAAGTAAAAATAATGCCCATAACAAAATAACAATCAGACTTTGACTCCTTACAAGCATAGTAAGATATTTTACCTGGCAATAGATTATATAATCAATTAAGTGGTTATTTTTGATTATATAATCAGTTGTATGAAAATGTAAAGAAGATAACAGAATGTAATTTTACTACCTTCTGGACTTCAATACTGTTTACAACAGTTCTATAAACTGACACCACCAGAGTGTAGAGTGCACAAATGTTTGTACAGATTGCTGAATTTTGTGATACATAAATTGGTCCAAACACATTTTTTCCTATATAACCTGTCCCATATTCTATTACTTTATCAATCCATAGATCTAGAAATTGCATAGCTTTTTCTGAGCCTTGTTTCTTTCTTAAAAAGTTAATGATGGAACAAGGCTCAGAAAAAGCTAGTCCTAAAGAATTATCCAAATTATCCAAAAATGTCTTAAAGAATTATCCAAAATCATATTACAGAAGTTGGCAACAAGCTGTTTGGCAAATGTTTCCAACTATGTGATGTCAGACTGAAGCTAACCTCACCCTTCTGGTCAATGTGCTTTTGCTTGGTCATGTCTTTGCCTCATGCCTCAAACAATGTCTCACGATCGACATATAGTTGTAAATTTTGTATATAGACATGGAAATAAATACTCTGTAACTGCTCAGAAAACATATTATCCTGTCTGAATTGTTTATCCAGCATGATGATGAAACTAACATGGATGCAATCGGATTGATTGGCATACTAGATTGATCCTGAAAAGCCATAGTAGGCACCTCAGTATCAATAAAACTTTCTGTCATAACTTCTTTTTCAAATTATTAAGATGTTAACTTGATATCTCTATAAAACTTTAATTTACTTCCAAATTCTTCAGGTGCTTTTGTTTCTATTTTTCTAACTACTTATTTACTTATTCTGCTAATATTTCTTCTAATGGGTCAATGGGTACTCCTTGTTTGTATTTATCATATTATCCTTCAAATTTAAAATATGACTCAAATACTACTATATGTGGCAGATCCTACAACATTTTAAAACCTCATATTTCTAAATTTTTGTCTGCATAAATAGTTCTTTAGAATAAATAAAAGCCAGCTTCAACTTCACATTCAGTAACAAGGACTTGAAATCTAGGGTTTCCTTGGCCAGTATACAGTATTATTTAACAAGGAGATAGAAAAAAGTGGGATGAAACATAGCTGATAGAGAAAATAAGGAAGG